TGTGTATTGTGTTTTGGTTGTGTGTATTGTGTTTTGGTTTAGTGTATTGTGTTTTGGTTGTGTGTATTGTGTTTTGGTAATGTGTATTGTGTTTTGGTAGTGTGTATTGTGTTTTGGTAGTGTGTATTGTGTTTTGGTAGTGTGTATTGTGTTTTGGTTTAGTGTGTTGTATTTTGATAGTGTGTATTGTGTTTTGGTAATGTGTATTGTGTTTTGGTAGTGTGTATTGTGTTTTGGTAGTGTGTATTGTGTTTTGGTAGTGTGTATTGTGTTTTGGTAGTGTGTATTGTGTTTTGGTAATGTGTATTGTGTTTTGGTTTAGTGTATTGTGTTTTGCACTTATGGGCCACCGTAGTATGCAGATAAGCACCGTTGAGGCGCATCAGTTTGACTAAATCTACTGACAGCAAACCCTTCAGCATTGCAAACAGACATTGATTTCTGAGTACTAACAACAGCCATGTTTTTGACGTTCTGGCGGGTAAGAGCGCCAACTTATGGTACGGTGTTGCTCGCAATGGCGGACAAATAACCCCGTGCTTCAATAGTCAATTGTCTGTCAGTTTGTCCAGACCACTCCTAGTGTTCTTTTCATAAATCGTTTGTTTATTAATGTAGTTACTATCATAAAAATCGTCACAATCCCTATAAATGTTATCATTTAAGTCATTCAAAAAAGTAAGGACAAGATATAGATATACCGGGGTAAAAGTACCTATTCCCAAGGTGCAAATATTCCGCCATGAGACTTACTTCGGTTCAAGCTTCAAGTCAAATTCCTCAAACTTCATTGTTGCTCTATAGTCGACACATTCGTATTTATGCTGTACTTTTAATTTAAACATTGATGACACGAAGCAAGCAGAGGATTTCTTTCTCTCAGCAAGGTATGTTCTCTCAAAATATATGGAATATTTATCATTTTTATGTTTGTTGTGAAGATAACTTTCTTTTTCCCCATTGTGGAAACACCGAGCTTTACGCTGTTCGGTTAGCGCGAATTTGCGCGCCAAAATCCGTTGTGATTCATTACTGTATTTGAATTTCGATGTTCAGATCGAGTCATCGAGAGAGGAGAGAAGCTACAGAAGTTTTCACATATTGATATCAAAAGTTTTTATATTCATACATTTGATTTCTTTTCAGTATCTACTTCATTGTGCTTAGTATAACTTTCTCCTGTTTGACATTTCATCGAATGGTCATGTCTGTTTATCAACTCATTTGAATATGGCGCACAATAACGAAGTTCTTGTTGTACTTGAAGAAGTTGCCCGTGTAAATAAGGAGTTTATAAACGAGAACCGCGTTCTACGAGAAGATCTACAAAGGAGAGATCAGGAGCAGAGAAAGATTTTGGCTGATCTTAATCAGAAATTACAAGAAGCCACGAGCGGGAACAACTGTTCTGTTAGCAGAAGGACCAGTGCAAAGACATCACAGGTCAAAGTCCCTGCTGCCTGTCGGGTAAGAGTGTACTTTTATATCAAGTATTAAACTGTTTATTTGTCAGTTCTAAACTGATAACTGATTTATAATTAGAAGTAATGCTCTGTTGTGTTTGTCAACTCTCGACTGACAATAAATGATTTTATATACTATTCAATATGTACATTATATTATCCCCGAGCCGGCGGCGCGAAGCGCCGTGCGAGGGTACTAATTTCCCCCGGCTATTTACACCCGGGGAAACGAAAGCATTAGCCAAGTCTAAAGTTCGTCAAATATCGCGGGCGTGACCAACGAACCTTGAGTGGGTGGTCATCCTCACTGAGCTCAAAAATATAGCGGACTGTCATGGATAGCGAACACTGATTGGTCAAATTTAAAACTTGTTGTTGTATGACAAATGACGACTTCAACTGACAGATACTTCATGAAAATAATTTGCTTTTTACACTACAGTATTTTGTACGTTTGCAAAAAACTTTGACAGCTTTGAAAGCAATTTGTTCTATAAAAAGTTTAATAAAACAATTACGGTATCAAATACCAATTGAAAAGATATGGAGCCAAATGAAGAGCGACAAGGAAACGACAAGAAAGCCGAGCGTCTAGCGAAAAGGGGGGAGCGAAGACGACAACGTTTGCTCGAGGAGACTGCTGAGGAAAGAGAAGCTCGCCTGGGAAAGCGTAGAGAAGCATGGAAAAAAAGACTGCTGAAGCGAAAGGTAAGCAAAGGCTTGTCTTCACAACGCTATGTACCAATGATACTGAAGCTATACAAGTTGAACTTTGATATTCGACCCTCTATATTCGACTATTTCTTCACAATTTTCCAATAAAGAGTTTGTCATGACACGCTCAAGTCAGTATAACCAGACTGTATTTTATTTATATCAGTTATCACAGCCACAGGCAATTTTATGCTGTCAAATACCGTCGGTTGCAACTAAGGGTGAACAGTTGCAGATAAAAATTCTCTATTCTCATTAAAAAGCCTGTAAAGGTTTCCAGTAGGTCTCTAGCCCAACACGTTCAGACCACACAAAGTTTTGTTACTTATTATTGTACACATGGGAAACAACAATTAAGTGTTGTTGTTCTTGACAAACATTGAAGATTCTAATCACGCGAATGGTTTTATGAGCGACTGTTCATCGTTAGTTGCAAACGACGGTACAACATACTATGAACATTTTTCCGACTGTGACCGAATGTGCAACGATATATTTTTCAAAGTTGTTAACAATTCCTAAAATTTGTTTATAGTAAAACAGCCTGCTCAGCACTCACTACTCACGATGATTTCATTTAGAAATGCAGTTACCAGGAAAGGAACTGATTCTAAAATATGTAAAATTAAAAGCATTGGCTATTACGATGTGAAGACAAGGTACAAACTTTTATAGTTGCTATTTGTTATAAATCCTATAAATAAACCGATTCAACAATAATTTTGCCTCGAATTTGCATATTCTATGCTGCATGTTTATATTTTATTTTTATAGTATAAAAATAAAATTGTAATACTATGAAATAAAATACATTTCTGTTTATTCACCAGTACTTATTTAATGTCTTCTTCATCCAGTGGTCAGAGTAAATTTCTACTTCTAGCAAGTAAATATTTGACAAGCAGTCTGAAATAAGCACAGGACTTTTAATGCATCAGCCAAATCCAAGTGTGCCCACCCCCCTCGCCCAGCCATTTTCCTGTAAAGCACATCCCGGGGGTTGGGCATTTCCACTCGAACCTTAGCCCCGGCGGGGCATTTGAAATTAATAATTTGGATTCTTGCACTTCACTTGTGGAATTAATATTAGAATGTTAGGGTTTGTAATACAAGTGAGAATATATACATGTATATATTTTGTAATCCAAGTGAGAATATTTTGTAATCCAAGTGAGAATATACAAATGTATAGTACATGTATATATTTTGTGTATATATTTTGTAATCCAAATGAGAATAGTTTGTAATCCAAGTGAGAATATGCAAATGTATATATTCTCACTTGGATTACAAACCCTAACATTCTAATTTTAATTCCACCAAGTGAAGTGCAAGAATCCAAATTATTGAAGTCTGGCACCTTATCACAACCCGCACACCCGATTACCTAAATATACATGAACTTACGGTTAAAGCTCGACAGCTGGTCTCTTGTAGCTCAGTTGGTTAGAGCACTGCACCGGAATCGCAGGGCCGTAGGTTCAATTCCTACCAGAGGACCTTGTGCTGCATTTTTCGCAGTCGTTCCTTATTAGGTCTTAAAATGTATATATTCTCACTTGGATTACAAACCCTAACATTCAAATATTAATCCCAACAAGTGAAGTGCAAGAATCCAAATTATTGAAGTCCACTTTATCATAACCCGCACACCCGATTACCTAAATATACATGAACTTATGGTTAAAGCTCAACAGCTGGCCGAGCTGTAGCTCAGTTGGTTAGAGCGCTGCACCGGAATCGCAGGGCCGTAGGTTCAATTCCTACCAGAGGACCTTGTGCTGCATTTTTCGCAGTTGATCCTGGTTAGGTCTTAAAATGTATATATTCTCACTTGGATTACAAACCCTAACATTCTAATATTAAGTCCACCAAGTGAAGTGCAAGAATCCAAATTATTGAAGTCCACCTTATCATAACCCGCACACCCGATTACTTAAATATACATGAACTTACGGTTAAAGCTCAACAGCTGGCCTCTGCAGCTCAGTTGGTTAGAGCGCTGCACCGGAATCGCAGGGCCGTAGGTTAATTACTACCAGAGGACCTTGTGCTGCATTTTTCGCAGTCGTTCCTGGTTAGGTCTTAAAATGTATATATTCTCACTTGGATTACAAGCCCTAACATTCTAACATTTGAAATTAAGGATTTGGAGGTTTTGCGATCACCGACAACTTGATAATTTTATAAAACAAAACACTTCTATCTCCAACTTTTACAATCACTGATAAATTGATAATAATTTAAACCAGTCTAGCTGTAGTTTAAATAGAGAATAATACATGGGTGCACGAAATACCAGATTTTATTTCGAGTGTTGAACATGAGTGTGCAGCGAACAAGTGAGCGCAGCGAACGAGTGAGATGTCATGTTCAACACAAAAAATAAATCTGGTATTTCCAACCACCCATGTATTTTTCTGTTTATTATATAAAGGACAGTCTTAAATGAAAAGCGATAATGTTTACAGAAAAGCGATAATTGAAAAGGCGATAAATTTTTACATGTGAGATTATCATGAATAATTTCACATCTGAATTTTCACATCTGAGATTCACATTTTTGTCAGTGCTCGAAAACTCTGCAAAACACTATACTTTATATAATAAAAATTCATAAATTTGAACCATGCTAGAGCATGACAACAGCAAAATGCTCTATAGTATGATGCACAATATTTTGGGAGGTGATCGAAATACACGAACAATAAATCAGAGAGTGTTTGCTTGGAACTCACTGGGGGGGGGGGGGGGGGGTGCAACACCCCTGATTATTGCTCATGATGAATTTCAGGTAGATTTCCAGTGCACTTTTAGTACGTACATTTAAGTAGATTTGCAGAAGATTTTCAGGGGAATTCAGGTAATTCTCAGGACATGACTGAGAAAGTGAATTTGGAAAACAACTGTATTTTCGAAAAAATTATTATATGTCCTGAAAATTTTTTGTACATCTGGAAACTTTTTGGTAACCCCCCCCCCCTCTATCTAACCACACACACACCCTGCGACGAAGTGCTCGCAACGGCACTGAGTATATATCTTTTGAAAACAGGCGAGGGGTTATTGCATGCATGTATTTCTAGTATATATTGTATATAAATTATATTGTATATAAATTATATTGTATATATTTATTATAATATATTTTATTATATATTGCATTGCATATATATATATATATATATATATATATATATATATATATATATATATATATATATATATATATATATATATATATATATATATATATATAATAGTATTTATAAAATTACTACAGTGAAACGACGCTTATCTTGATTAAAATTACTGATGAAATGTGCAGTTCTCACAACATTCGTGAATTAACCAATCAGAGAATCGCTACTCCACGCTATTGAAAACAACAACATAAGTGAACAGAATTTGATCGCAGATTCGCGAAAATATACAGCGAAAATACAGCGACTTTTTCGATAAAATATACGAAATTTGAAATGGAAAACCTTCTAAACAGAGAGCCAAAGTAGTTTTGAAGATTCTCGACCTGAATATGTGAAGATTGCGAGGCGTTTGATCAACTTTGAAGCAAGAGATGTTGTACTTGCATGCCATGGTCTAATGAATTTCAACGCTACACGTTGCTATACTTGCTGAATAGCAATGTATCGATCAGAAATTTATTCATACAACTAAACCAACGTCTCAATAATTGGAAACTTACTTCAAAGTCGAAAGGTATCGTACAATGAAACTTTACAATGTGAGTATATTTGTAAAATTATGT